TCCATTTATGGACTGGTGCAAGACTCTCGGAGTTGGAATAAACGCTTTGATAGTGTGATGAAAGCATATGGTTTTATACATACTTTTGGAGAAGTCTGTATTTACAAGAAAGTGAGTGGGAGCTCTGTAGCATTTCTGATGTTATATGTAGACGACATATTATTAATTGGAAATGATATAGAATTTCTGGATAGCATAAAGGGATACTTGAATAAAAGTTTTTCCATGAAAGACCTCGGCGAAGTTGCTTACATATTGGGCATCAAGATCTATAGAGATAGATCAAGACGCTTAATTGGACTATCACAAAGCACATACCTTGATAAAGTTTTGAAAAAGTTCAAAATGGATCAGGCAAAGAAAGGGTTCTTACCTATATTACAAGGTGTGAAGTTGAGTCAGACTCAATGCCCGACCACAACAGAAGATAGAGAGAAAATGAAAGATGTTCCCTATGCTTCAGCCATAGGCTCTATCATGTATGCAATACTGTGTACCAGACCTGATGTATGCTTAGCAATAAGTTTAGCAGGGAGGTACCAAAGTAATCCAGGAGTGGATCACTGGACAGCGGTAAAGAATATCCTGAAATACCTGAAAAGGACTAAGGATATGTTTCTCGTTTATGGAGGTGACAAAGAGCTAGTCGTAAATGGTTACGTCGATGCAAGCTTTGACACTGATCCGGACGATTCTAAATCGCAAACCGGATACGTGTTTATATTGAACGGTGGAGCTGTTAGTTGGTGCAGTTCTAAACAAAGCATCGTGGCGAGATCTACATGCGAAGCGGAGTACATAGCTGCTTCGGAAGCAACAAATGAAGGAGTCTGGATGAAGGAGTTCATTTCTGATCTAGGTGTCATACCTAGTGCATCGGGACCAATGAAGATCTTTTGTGACAATACTGGTGCAATTGCCTTGGCAAAGGAATCCATATTTTACAAGAGGACCAAGCACATCAAGAGACGCTTCAATTCCATCCGGGGCCAAGTCTAGGTGGGAGACATAGAGATTTGCAAGATACATACGGATTTGAATGTTGCAGACCTGTTGACTAAGCCTCTTCCACGAGCAAAACATGATCAACACCAAGACTCCATGGGTGTTAGAATCATTACCGTGTAATCTAGATTATTGGCTCTAGTGCAAGTGGGAGACTGAAGGAAATATGCCCTAGAGGCAATAATAAAGTTATTATTTATTTCCTTATACCATGATAAATGTTTATTATTCATGCTAGAATTGTATTATCCGAAAACATAATACATGTGTGAATACATAGACAAACATAATGTCACTAGTATGCCTCTACTTGGCTAGCTCATTAATCAAAGATGGTTATGTTTCCTAACCATAGACATGAGTTGTCATTTGATTAACGGGATCACATCATTAGTAGAATGATGTGATTGACATGACCCATTCCATTAGCTTAGCACCTGATCGTTTAGTATGTTGCTATTGCTTTCTTCATGACTTATACATGTTCCTACAACTATGAGATTATGCAACTCCCGTTTACCGGAGGAACACTTTGTGTGCTACCAAATGTCACAACGTAACTGGGTGATTATAAAGGAGCTCTACAGGTGTCTCCAAAGGTACATGTTGAGTTGGCGTATTTCGAGATTAGGTTTTGTCACTCCAATTGTCGGAGAGGTATCTCTGGGCCCTCTCGGTAACGCACATCACTATAAGCCTTGCAAGCAATGTAGCTAATGAGTTAGTTACGGAATGATGCATTATGTAACGAGTAAAAAGACTTGCCGGTAACGAGATTGGACTAGGTATTGGGATACCGACGATCAAATCTCGGGCACCCAATACCGACGATCAAATCTCGGGCAAGTAACATACCGATGACAAAGGGAACAACGTATGTTGTTATGCGGTTTGACCGATAAAGATCTTCGTAGAATATGTAGGAGCCAATATGAGCATCCAGGTTCCGCTATTGGTTATTGACCGGTAACGTGTCTCGGTCATGTCTACATAGTTCTCGAACCCGTAGGGTCCGCACGCTTAAGGTTTCATTGACAGTTATATTATGAGTTTATGAGTTTCGATGTACCGAAGGTTGTTCGGAGTCCCGAATGTGATTACGGACATGACGAGGAGTCTCGAAATGGTCGAAACATGAAGATTGATATATCGGAAGCCTATATTTGGATATCAGAAGTGTTCCGGGTGAAATCGGGATTTTACCGGAGTACCGAGGTGTTACCGGAACCCCCCGGGGGCTTAATGGGTCTACATGGGCCTTACTGGAAATAGAGGGCAGCATCGGGAGTGTGGGGCGTGCCCCCCAAGGCCCAAACCGAATTGGTTTAGGGCAAGGGGGCCGCCCCCCCTCTTTCCTTCTCCTCCTCTCCCTTTCCTCCCCCTCTCCTAGTCCAACAAGGAAGGGTGGGAGTAGGACTCCCCATGGCGCGCCCCCTCCTAGGCCGGCCGCCCCCTCCCCCCTTGCTCCTTTATATACGGGGGCAGGGGGCACCTCTAGACACAACAATTGATCTCTTGATCTCTTAGCCGTGTGTGGTGCCCCCCTCCACCATAGTCCTCCTCGATAATATTGTAGCGGTGCTTAGGCGAAGCCCTGCGACGGTAGAACATCAAGATCTTTACCACGCCGTCGTGCTGACGGAACTCTCCCTCGACACTATGTTGGATCGGAGTACGAGGGACGTCATCGAGCTGAACGTGTGCAAGAACTCGGAAGTGTCGTAGTTTCGGTGCTTGATCGGTCGGGCCGTGAAGACGTATGACTACATCAACCATGTTGTTCAACCGCTTCTGCTTTCAGTCTACGAGGGTACGTGGACACACTCTCCCCTCTCCTTGCTATGCATCACCATGATCTTGCGTGTGCGTAGGATTTTTTTGAAATTACTACGTTTCCCAATAGTGGTGTCTCTTCCACCATGGGAGCTCCATAAAAAATATGTAAATCTCCACTCTTCTGTTGATTTTTCAGCTCGTTGCACCATTACATCAATATGACTATTGTTGCAATTCTTCAGACTAATGGAAAGTTCCTTGGACAAGAAAAAATCGATGTTGCGGCTTAGTCCATCACTGTCCACCTCAAAACTTCTTGCAAAACCCAGTGTGTTCGGCAAGCCTTCCACTCTTTTCCCTCTGATCTTTGTCTCCATGATAAAGAGGAGGATATGCCCATTCTCGCTTCACATGATTGCGAAGCTCGCGAATTGCTTCAGGGTTCCCAAACCCCCGTCAATTCCATCTAATGCAAATCATTGGCTCAGGTAGGGCTGACCTGCAGCCTCTACTAAATTTTCAGAGTTAGCTGCAGTTGGTTTATTTTTCTTTTGACCCATACCCCCATCGTTCAGATCATTATGTTCACCATCAGGATTCTCTTTACTTTGGTCCCCATCATTCCGATCAACACCCGAACCACCAGTTAAGCGAGGCACCTCGATTCCGCGATAAATTTGTTTTTGGTTTTGAGGTCCATCTTTCCTCTTGCTTGCACTAATTCTACTCTTAAGCAGAGACTGCACCTCCGCGTTCTTCTCTGCTGCATTGGATGAGGAGTCAGCCTCTTTCTTGGAAGTCTGTGATTGTTGAGATTCTCACAACAGTCCATAGTAGAACTGCTTTTCTTCCTCTCATCCGGTGCTCTCAAACTAGCCTTGGAAGGCAGATCACCGTTTGCATCTCGAGTTCCTGGCGTCGGACAGAAAAGATCGGAGTGCCCCAGACGGCCACATGAAAAATAGAGCGGGATACTTGTTCATATTGTATGTCATACCAATCCGTGCTTTTTCTCCACTCCGAATCTATAAGTATGCATCTCCTCAAAGACTTACGCACGTCCACTTTAACCCTTGCCCTTAGGAAGTCCCCCACAGGATCAAGCCGAATCGAACTAACTTTCTTATCTATCTGTTTTGTAATTGCCTCTCCTTGTGTTTCATTTCTCAGATGGAAGGGTAAATTGATTACCCTTGCTCAAAGTTGAAGCTTATCAAACTGCAACTTCAACGGCCGCATACACGCCATGAATTCCTCAAAAATCATTGCATGTTTGCTAACATGCGAAGGCGATCCATCTCCGACTCGATCCTGATCACGTTGTGATTCGAAATCAAATACAAACATGGTTTCTCGTACATAATGAAGACCAAGTCCATAAGGCTACCACAAGCTAATTGCAAAACGTTGGCGATCGTCTATGTGGAAGATGTTCCGGTAAAGGATCTTTCATGCAAGCGACAACTTCTTCATAGCGTCGTCATCAACATATACTAGTGGTGTTGCTTCTTCCTCGAAGATTTTTAGCTTTTCGAGCGCTCCCTACATCCGAGCCCTTGCCGATTTGGACGAGAGCACGGCTTCACGTGAGTTCCCCGACCCAGAGGACGTCGCCATCCTTGATCGGTGATTCCGGTGAGCCCGCCGATGAGATCCGCGTCCGCTTTCTTTTTCCCTCGAAAATCTGATCGCCTAGAAGGGGGTTAGGTTTTTGGAAAACACCATCCGTGATGAAAGAACTTAGATAGAGCCATTGTACATTGTCCGCAGTAGATCATTTGGTAAAGTCCAATAACAACGTCTTAAGAGCTCAGAGGACGATCTCATCTACCGTTGCTTAGCTACTACTCCCTTCGTTCGGAATTACTTGTCTTGGAAATGGATGTATCTAGAACAGAGGGAGTACGTCAGCAGTAGAAGTCAACATCGGAAAGGCTAACAGTGCAACACACGCACACACACAACCTTCAGATCCAATCGACCATACTTCTATCTAAGTTCACAAATCTTCTTAGGCCCCGTTTGCCATCACCCCCTTCCTCCTTCCCACCCTTCCTCCTTCGTTCACAAATCTTCTCTTCTCCGCGCCGCGCCCTCCCCCTCCCGGCCCGGCGAGAGGCCACCCAAGCGGCTCCGCCTCTCACGCTCCCGCGCCCACAAACCCCCAGGAACCTCGTCCTCCCGAGGTTCCCGCTTCGGCGCGCTTCCGAGCCGCCACAATGGTACGTGTGCCTGTCTCCCGCCCTCCCGACAAATTGCTCCCTCCCTGCCCCTCCTCGCCGCTTACACGCGAATGCGATCCGAGATCAGGCGATGGCGGGGCTGGCCGTCGCTTAGTGTGTTCGTATCGCGCGCGGGCTACACGCCGCCGCCGCGGCGAGATCCGCCGCGAGACATGTCGAATTCCCGGTGGATCTGGGGTTCTGTTGCGCTATGTACTGACTTGATTTCCCTTTCTCGTGTTTTTTTTGGGTGATGGCCGTGAATGTGGCAGCCGCTCCGGTTGGATATCAAGGTAATCGCGACGCCTCTTACTGGGATCTACTCGGTGAATGTCTGGTGTGGTGTCGCTGATGTCGGTTTTGTGTTTGGTTGTATCAGAGGAAGCTCGCGCAGAGGTCGGAGAGGGTCAAGTCCGCGGATCTGCATCCGACAGAGCCATGGTTAGTGGGCAGTTCGTGTGATGTGAATATGATCTTGGTTTTGATTTTGGCTACGAAATTCACGTGCGGGTGATCAAAGCTTCCGCCAAACCATGGTAAATAGCGTGACCATTCTCTTGTGCTACACAGGATTTTGTCGAGTCTTTACTCGGGGAGTGTCTGCATCTGGAACTACCAAACGCAGGTAGGCGACTGTTCACAGCAGCCCGCCTTCATAATCTGCCTTTGTAATTTTTCAGCTAAACTCGATGAAGATTATAAGCAATGATGATGGTGTCACTTGTACCTTGTATGTTGTAATGAAACTAGATATTTTCGTTCATGTATAGAAATGAAGATGTACTTAGATTTAATTTGTATATTTCTGAAACGCGATTTACGGTGTGTATAGTAATGAGCTAGGTGATATGCCACTGGTAGTGACTTATCCTAGAAGGGGAAAAGAGAGGGAATATCGAACATGTGTAGATTAGCAATTACGTAAAATCCAGAGAAAAAACGTTGATGCCACTATTTTTAAAATCTACTGACGAGGTTAAAGTAACAAGGAACTTCCATCTATTTTTAGGTAATTGCTAATATATATCTATGTCACTTTATTATAAGGGAACAAAGGGGCAGAGGAGGCTGAAAATGAAAATGCATCTTTTTATCTTCTTATGACTGAGATAAATGACTTTGTATAGCTTATCTTAAGACTTGACTGACAAAACTATATATTTATTTATCCCTAGACAATGGTGAAATCATTTGAAGTCACAGAGTTACCAGGTATGCTTTCCCACCGAATTGCTTACTTATCTTGCCAGATATACCATCATTTTGATATATCATGTCTGTCGCAGTTCGTTCGGCTAAATTTATTGCACGGAAGCAATGGGTTGTTGCTGGTGCCGATGATATGTTTATCCGTGTGTACAATTACAATACAATGGATAAGGTCAAGGTATTTGAAGCTCATACTGATTACATCAGGTGTGTGGCTGTTCATCCAACCCAGCCTTTTGTGCTGTCATCATCCGATGACATGTTAATTAAGCTTTGGGATTGGGATAAGGGTTGGGCGTGCACTCACATATTTGAGGGGCACTCTCACTATGTGATGCAAGTCACATTTAACCCAAAGGATACCAATACTTTTGCTAGTGCTTCCCTTGATCGCACGATAAAGGTTTGTATTTGTTCCTCAAAAAGATGCTGGTTAAACTGAGTCCTATTTTGTATCTTGGTCTGTACCCTGCCTAATATCCTAATATTGAACGTGAACTTCAGATATGGAGTATTGGTTCTCCTGATCCTAACTTCACATTAGATGGCCACTCAAAAGGCGTGAACTGTGTTGATTACTTCACCGGTGGTGATCGACCATTTTTAATTACTGGATCTGATGATCAGACTGCAAAGGTGTGTCATCTGCATTGAATTGTGCTATTGTGAGGGTATATTGGGATTGATCTGACTTATTACTCAATTTGTTGGATCAGGTTTGGGATTACCAAACCAAGAGCTGTGTTCAAACACTTGAAGGACATGCACACAATGTGTCCGCTGTCTGTTTCCATCCAGAACTACCTATTATAATTACTGGCTCAGAGGATGGCACAGTTCGCTTGTGGCACTCTACAACCTACAGGTACCCTCTCTCTCTCTCTCTCACTATGATATTGCTTGGAGATGATACTAACAGTGCGCTGTCTGAAAACCGGCTTTGTTTTACTAACATCTATTTAGTTACACGCAATACAGTTACTGGCTGTAGTTTTTTTCTTCTACATGTTTTTTGTTTGCAATAATAGTAATATCTTCTGCACTGGACTATACACATTCGTTATTTCCCAACTCATGCCAGTTTATTTCTTTAAATTGGCAGTGTAGATAGTGCCTTGTTCATGAATCATGAGCAAGAATGTGGTCTATTCTTAATTCTTCCATTTCTCCCAAGCATTTAATTATTTCTTTTCTTGTAGAACAAGTGAATAACACTTTGCTTGATGCACTTACAGGCTTGAGAACACTCTTAATTATGGTCTTGAGCGAGTTTGGGCTTTAGGATACATGAAGGGGTCAAGAAGGTAATGAATATTTAACTCTTGCTCTATTCCAGTTCTATGGTAATATGGTCAATGTGAAGGGCCAATACACGAGTATGTCTTCTCATCTGCTACTGAAGCTCCACACGCACTAACAATCCATTTTCTTTTTCTGCGACACAATTTCCTATATCGTGACAACATTGTGTATCTGCTAAACTGTTTCTTCCAAAAAAATTCTTCACTGAAAATGCAGAGTTCAGGCTTTTATTTACTTGTTCTTTCCTTTCAAGTTAAGGTAGTGACATATAATATTTTAATTTTTATAGGATTGTGATTGGATATGATGAAGGGACAATTATGATAAAAATTGGCCGTGAAGTTCCGGTTGCTAGCATGGACAACAGTGGAAAAATCATATGGGCGAAACATAACGAAATCCAAACTGTTAATATCAAGACTGTTGGTGCAGGCAATGAGGTTCTTCTTCTTTGCCATGTTAATGTGTTGAAGGCTTGTTAATTTTGGTATAAGCTTTATGTATGTTCTGTAACCTGTATCATCTGTCAGATTGCGGATGGTGAGCGATTACCGTTGGCTGTGAAGGAGCTGGGAAGCTGTGATCTTTATCCACAAGTAGGTTATATTTTATATCGCAGTGAATGCCTCATTCACATAGCGATGCTGTTATTTGTCATCTAGATGTTTGTTTTTACTCCCATGTTTCTGATTGGTCGTTCTTTTTTCTGTTTAAGCAAGATTCACATTACTATAGAACATGTAATCATGCATGCTAAAATATTTTTATTCAAATTTACTTTGAGATGTGCAGGATTGTGAGTTACTTTTGGTGTAACCACATTTTTACATTTAGATATCCTATTATTTCCGGCATTTACAGTTGCTGTATAATGAAGCTCTTCTACTGAAGTGAAATGCATAAATTCATGATTAGTAATAGCACAATATGGAATTGAGTGTTGGTTTTGAATTAAATTTCGATGGTTTAAAGAAGTGTGCATGAGGTTGTTATGACTTATGACCACTAAGAGTTTCAACTTGCACATTACTAAGAGATTCTTCTGTACAACTTGCACATTACTTTGAATTAACAGGAATTTGTCTTCATGTTAAACAGTAAACCTTTTTTGTAGCTTTACTTGTCTATTGTTCCATTTTCATTCACAAGTTAATAGCTTTGATTTTCATTTCAGAACTTAAGGCACAATCCCAACGGGAGATTTGTTGTTGTATGTGGAGATGGAGAATACATAATTTATACAGCACTAGCATGGAGAAATAGATCATTTGGGTCTGCACTTGAATTCGCTTGGTCATCTGATGGCGAATACGCTGTAAGGGAAAGCACCTCAAGGATAAAGATATACAGTAAAAATTTCCAGGTTTGTACCAAGTAAACATCTCCATTTCCCTATTATTGAAGTATTGATGTGTAACTATTATGGTTCTGTCTTTGAGAAACATCTATGGATAAGAGAACACACAATGCTATAACACAAATTCCATTTCGTGTTTTATTCCCATCTTCATACAAGAATGAACCCAGAACTCCTGCAATTTATAGATGTTCAATCGATATTTGTTCTTTCTCATAATACAAGGGCTGTTTGCCCAACTAACCATACAAGCTGGCTGCGCATTTTCTAATAATAACGGTAGTCAGGGCAATTTTGTCTCATCTTATCTTGATTTCACAATTTCCTATCTATGTGAAAAATGAAAACAGGCATATGTTAGAAACAAGGAAAGATATTTTCTTATGTAAACTGTAAAGTGCAAAGTAAATATATGACATGCACAAGTATTTTCTGCTGCTGGTTTAGTACCAGACTGGGAACTTGAGCATTTGGTAGTCAACATATTGTATTTTGCATGTTAGTATGTGAATGCTTGAACTAGACACTTGCTTTGGGGTGGAGAATGAAAGGCTTGAAAGCTAACACTTGAACAACTATTTCCATATGTCAATCTTTGTTACTACAAAACCTGAAAGATGGATATCTAATAATTTCAGGAGAGGAAAAGTATAAGACCAACATTCTCCGTCGAACGTGTGTTTGGTGGAGTATTATTGGCTATGTGTACAAATGATTTCATCTGCTTTTACGACTGGGCGGATTGCAGGTTGATACGTCGAATTGATGTCAACGTGAAGGTAAGTTTATTGTGTTTCTTCAAGAATCAAACACCTTTTCCATGTCATCTGGTATGTTATGCGACTAAAAAAAAATCTGCTGTTCTCTTGTAGAATCTCTACTGGGCTGACAGTGGTGATTTGGTGACAGTTGCAAGTGATACATCATTCTACATTTTGAAGTACAATGTGAGTTCTGTTAAGAACTGTGTTGCCTTCTTACAGTTTGTAGTTATGTGACATCTGCAGGCGTTATTTACAAATGTTCTTCTGTTGTGTTAATTGTGCCAAAACGTCAGCAACTCTTACATCAAGCACTTCTATGCAATTGTTTTTCTAATTTAAAAGTCTATACTAATACAACATTATCTCTTTACCTTCCAGAGGGATGTTGTATCTTCTCATTTGGACGGAGGGGGTTCAGTTGGTGAGGAAGGTGTGGAAGATGCCTTTGAACTGCTTCATGAGATCAATGAACGCATCCGAACTGGGCTATGGGTTGGCGATTGTTTTATCTACAATAATTCTTCATCACGGCTTAATTACTGTGTAGGAGGAGAGGTGAGTGTTTTTATCATATCAAAAGGCGTTTATATGTATGATTCCAGTTAGATCACAAGTTACTGTTTTTATCACTCCCAAGTCATACGGTTCCATGTATTACAGGTCACAACCTTATTTCACTTGGACCGGCCAATGTATTTACTAGGATATCTTGCTAACCAGAGCCGTGTCTATCTTATTGACAAGCAATTTAAGTGAGTTTTATCTTTATTGCCCTGGTATTCTTTTATGGCATCAACTCACAATAAACTTCTGAAGCTAACACTTCTTCTTATTGTAGTGTTGTTGGGTACACTCTACTCCTTAGTTTGATCGAGTATAAAACACTAGTGCTGCGTGGGGATTTTGATCGTGCAAATGATATTTTGCCATCTATACCGAAGGAACAATATGACAGGTGCCCCATGTTCTACTATTTGTTGTACTTTGCAGTTTTTGCCTCAGCATACAAAGATAACCTTTTAATTTCAGTGTGGCACATTTCTTGGAATCACGGGGCATGTTGGAGGAAGCCCTTGAGATAGCAACGGACTCTAATTACAGATTTGACCTGGCTGTTCAGCTTGGCCGCGTTGATGATGCAAAGGCATAGTTGACTATTGTTTTTTCACATTTCCAAGAAAGTTCCCTCCTTCATTCAAATATTCTGAGTAGTTATTTTGCAGGCAATTGCTCTTGAGGTGCAAAGTGAGTCCAAGTGGAAGCAGTTAGGGGAGTTAGCTATCTCAACTGGAAAGGTACACAGCTACTGTGTCTATCAGTTACCTTGTATGCTCACTATATACTGTGCTTTTGGCTCATCTGTAGTATGCTTGGTGGTCGATTGGGTAGTGTTGCGGTGCATCGGCACCCTTGTATCTTGTCTTGGGTGTGTGTGTTGTGTGGGGTGGTGGCGTTTGTTTCGGATTTGTATCTCTGGTCGTTGCTTTATATATAAAGCGGGGCGAAAGCCTTTTTCGGTATATACTGTGCTAATGAATTGGATTGTTTTGCCATATCACTTGAATTTACTAATATTTGATAAATGGATGAGCTAATAACTATGACTAGGCAGAATACAACCTAATATAATACGGCATGGATGTAGAGATGTATGAGAGCACAGTTTTGATGGAAAGGATGTGCTTTAGTTGTTGCTCAACATCATGCTTGAATCAGAAATGCTCTTTCAATTCAGCATGTCCTCTTCAACCTTAATTTTAACAAAAAAATAGGAAATGTAAAAGCTAATAACTCAGCGTCGGAATGAGTCTTTAAGTTGCATTTAATAAACTTTGCCATGTTATGTTTCTATCTTGTACTAGGATGCAAAACCTATATAAGTTGCGTCCAAATAACTTTCCCATGTTGTGTTCCTTCTTCCTTCTCATGTGTCATACAACTTTTTTGCAGCTCAAGATGGCAGAGGAGTGCCTTCTACATGCACTAGATCTCAGCGGTCTATTGCTTTTGTATTCATCCATTGGGGATGCTGATGGGATAACAAAATTGGCATCTATGGCTAGAGAACAGGGAAAGAACAATGTTGCGTTCCTTTGTTTGTTCATGCTAGGCAAGTTGGAGGAATGCCTTCAATTGTTGATTGAAAGGTATGATCGTTTTAGTGAGACTGTCCTGTTTCATACATCACTTCTTCAAACATGTTATTGTATGTTTAACTGTGCAACTGTTCTCTATACAGCAATCGCATTCCGGAAGCAGCATTGATGGCGAGATCTTATCTTCCAAGCAAAGTCCCTGAGATTGTAGCATTATGGAAAAAAGATCTCCAAAAGGTACTGCCAGCCTTGTAAATTCTTTGCTTTTGTTCTCTAGTTTCCAGGCCTTCATGATAACAATTTGATCTTAAACTGTTAGCGCACACATCTCCTCAGCACAAATTGTTACTTCAACATAAGTTGCACAATGAAGCATGTAATTGTCGTTCGTCAATTCCATGATATGGTTCAGCACTAGCGGTCACAGAGTTGGATTATAATGATGCTTCAAATTCAATAAGAATAATATCCGAGCTAACTCCAATACACTGAATTCAGGATGGTTACGTATTGTTTTGAGTGATGATGTAAAGATTAGCTGGAATCCTGCTTTGCTATTTGTTGATTTCTCTCTTGTTTGGACTTATGCTGCACTTCCTCTAATGTCCAGGGGCCACATCTTACGAACTGATGGTGTTCGCTTTGTTTCATATGCTTCGCAGGTAAACTCAAAAGCAGCAGAGTCATTGGCAGATCCTGATGAGTACCCAAACTTATTTGAAGACTGGCAGATTGCTCTCAATGTAGAAGCTACTGTCGCCCCCAAAAGGTTTTGGTTCATTTATATTGTTAAAGCAATGTTGCTGTGAAGTTTTACTGATCACATTCTTTCATCAATGCAACTAGGGTTTGGATTTAGCTTTAACTGGAACATCTGACAAAATTGAAAATGATGCCAGTGCATGTTTTTCAAGCTATTAATTTGTCACCGTTCTGACAAAAATCCTCTTTTAACAGGGGTATCTATCCACCTGCTGAGGAATACATGATTCATTCTGAAAGGCCCAATGAGAGTCTTGTGGAAGCTTTCAAGAACATGCATGTACAAGAAGAGGAGGACGTACATGAAGAGGATGTACACGATGAAGAGGAGCTAACAAATGAAAATGACACTGTTCAAGAGGTATTACTCATGCAGAAAATAGTTGCGTAAGCCGAAAGTAGCTTGCGCAATTAGGCTATTAATTCGTTATAAAATTTGTCAGCACTACATGTTCTTTCAGTTTAGTAGTTGATTGTTGGCATGTTTCCATTAGAGGGGTAACATTTGCGCCGAAAGAGAAAATTATACATTTCCAATAAACTGATGATAAATAAATTAATCATGTGCACGACTGCATGTTATAGTTGCAACAAAATAGACCTGCTCAGTAACCTGTCGGTGTGTGTTTTGCATCACTACCCACTAGCACTGCATCATCCTTTCCTTGTATGTTAACAACTGAGACAATATTAATGGTATAAAGACCAAATGTTGAAGAGTTAGTAATCATGATCCTTTCCATGAAATTCAGTCATTATCTGCCAGTGGGGAATCTTGTTTGGTTTATCTTCTTTCGGAAGATATCCCATGCTATTACCCTCTGGGCCGAAGCAGTTTCTCTTATTGTGTCTGATTCATAGAGAATAAGTGTATTCGTTGTCAGTGTGTTTCTACTATTCTTGGTTGTAAGATGGGCTTGCCGAGTGGTATTTTTCTGCCATTTGATACATTTCTTGGTGATACGAATATCGCTTGAACACATTAGGGTGAGCTTACAAATGCACAAATTATTTGGTATTTTGTCTTGGACAGTGTGCTAGGGCGTGGACGTTCGTGCCCATCTCCCTTATGTAATTCCACGCCCCATTTAACCTCCCGGTGGTCTTCTCCTTTGTAGTCGACATGATGTCAGCCCCCCTCATCTCCTCATCATGCTCTCTTTCCTCTTTCGTCCTCCCCACTCATCTCCTCCCATTGGTGGTGCCCAAGAGAGTCTGGTCTCTAAGGCCTGGAACCGATCGCTCAGTATTTAGATTTTTTGTTTTATCCAGATCCTCATCCTCATGCATTGTATGTTACTATATACTCCCTCCGTTTGGATTTACTCGTCGTGGTTTTAGTTCAAATTTGAACTAAAACCACGACGAGTAAATCGGAACGGAGGGAGTACTTTAATATCTTTAACTCAGTAGGCCTGGAAAGGGATTTTATATTTTTATTTCGTATTCTTGTTGCAATCCAAACAAGCCCCTAATAGGAATATTTCTACGACTACATTGTTACCACCAAGGCTTAGTTTAGCAGCACAGTATTTTGAAAACCATAGTGATCTAAAACCTCAGTATTTCAATCCATGCATAATGAATGCTCTGGTATGTAAAAACCACTTTTTTCAGTTTAGTGTACAAAAACTAGGTCAGGGCCTCTTTTTGAAATACTGCGAAAATACTATGGTTTATAAAAACTGTGGTATTTGTTGACCCCAAGCACACCAAAGTTGTCAAGACAATAAAAAAACATAGTACGAATGAAGGCCTCTTTAAAAAAAACTATGGTGTATGGAAAATGATATTGTAAAAAAACTCCAAAAGCTTAGCTGCCAAATGCAGCCTGATTGGTACATTGTGTTGGTTAGTCAGGTCAACTTATGGAAGTCACTGCATCTATTTTAAATGTAAATATTTTTATGTTCTTCTTTTGGTCCCTATCACATTCCATCCTTGCATAAATGATAACGCCATCTTGCTTCAACAGGTTTTTGAAGATGACGGAGCAGAAGAGAGCCAAGAAGATGCTGTTGAGGTCGAGGCTGATGGTTCTACTGATGGCACTATCCATGTGAATGGAAATGATAGTGAGGAACAGTGGGGTACGAACAAAGAAGAACCATCAGCATAAAAGCTGTAGTTGAGCAAGTGTACAGTCCCAAATCCTTGTTGGTCTTTTCTCCCAGTGCACCAATAATCTTAAGGAAAACCTGCTGCTGGATGCTATTTGCCTATTCTGGAAATATAGATATCCTTCAGTTGCCTAACCATTTAGCCTTTAGCTTCAGGGCAAACCTTCTGACTACCTGAAGTCTGATAAGTGTCCCCATAACCTGGGGAGCTTCGGGGAGGTCAAATGACTTACGAATCCCCATTAATTATGTTTTGGAAGATAGCCCAACAGTCTCTAAATAAAAAGCCTGCGAAACCAATCCTCTTCCCTTGTTGGCCTATTTAACAATTATTTTTACTGTTTATGTAGCAATTGACATGTCGTTCCTTTTTTTTGTCTTTCCCCGATTGATAATATGGTAAACGGACGAAGTGTTTAACAGACAACTAAATTGAGGCGTGTAGCAATAAGTTTTTGTATGGACATTGTTTAAAAAATTCTAGTTAATCTGTCAAACAAGTTCATTAACTGGTTTTTGTGTGAAGTGTTTCTATTGGCTGCTTTGTTAACCTTTCAAAGTGTTATGTTCCTAATGTCTGCCTTGTTGTTTTGTAGTGCTGACTCCTGACCAATAGTGGATAGTGGAACAGCAGCCTGCTTAAGAGGTTCGGTTTGTAAAGGCAAGTCATCTTCCGAGTGCCGATCATACATTTTCGTGTAGCGTCGCATTTCTTCAGCTAATGTGTTACAGTTGCTGTCCTTTCTTGTTGCAGGTTTGTTACTGGGATGATGTAAAACTCGTTTCTCCTCATTCTATAAGCTTTCATGTGATCTAGGATTGGCTTATCCGGTTACAGTTTGGGCAGCAATTTAATTAGCACTTTAGTTCATGTTATAGAAAATTTTGCGCTTCATTTCAAATAGATAGTCTTCCGGGATGTTTCACAGGGTTGTAAGAGGCTGTTCGTTTGGAGATGGATTTTTGTTTGGTGGTTGGAAAGGTGCTATATGCTACACTAAGTACATAGGGCAGTCGCCTGTCAGTTTGGGAACATTACCCTGGTCCCGTATGTAAACCTCAGATTGTTGAACACAGTTATCGGGTGTGGTGGGGGCTCTGTATCTCCACTGTACAAGTTTGTTTCAGAAGTTATCTACTATTCACGTGAAGCCGTTGCTCAGACTGGGCAGGGTCTAGCTGCGGCACTTACTCAGGCAATCGCTGGGGCAGTGTTTGGTTGCCATCAACCCTTCTTGCCAGGCCTGCTGAGCATGCCTGCAAAAATTGAGTGTTTGGCGAAGATAACAATAAAGTTTTGAAAAAAAATCTATTACAAATCATTTCGAAAGGGTAAAATGTGTCATGACTTGTCATGAAATCGTACCCACCGTACCAGTGTTTTGATTTTTTTCCATACCAGCCTTACCAAATATGTAAAACGTGGATCGGAATTGCAAAGGTGTTCTAGGGTTTGCACCTCGTATTTATTGGGAGATTTGGTGACTATAGTTAAAGCATCTACGGCCGGATGCCTCAAACTACCCTATGCGCTCAGGTGGACGGTCCACCTTATATCGGCCCTAAACGCTTGGGCTGACCAACACCCATCATTGTAGTGTAATGCAATGTAAAACAAATTTTCTCGCTTATCACTATGAAGATGCATGTTAGGTTTGATCTGATTGTTACCAACTTTGTAGTGCAATGAAAGGAGAGTTGGTGAAGATCGTTGGGGCAGATTCCCGTAGCTAGGATTAACAACTCCCAACCGTGAGAATTTTCTCCCTCGAACAGTTCTCAAACAGAAGATAGAATACACGATCTTTCTATTGGATTGCACACATACAGTGTCACCTATCAAGCGGCGCTTCATCGTCCAGAACTAATTGCTACCGCACTAGGTAGTAATTCGGCGCTATGAAACTATGACGTGGAGGAAGGGAGGGAGGGAGGGAGGGAGGGAGAGAGAGAGGATTGCATATCATTTGTGTGAAAACTTGAGATGAGTTGGAGAGCACCTCTCCACCCCTATTTATAGTGGAGAGGGGTGGAGGATGACTGCCCAAAAAGCCCCCCCCCCCTCCACAAGCATCATCCCGCCAAAGGTTGGAGGTTGCCCCATGTAGGTGTCCCCTGGGCCCCTTCCAACATTGCTCCACCAAATGTGGGAGCTGCCTCCCACCCTCACCCCCAACATCCTTTCATCAATTTAGGGGGCTGCGCCCAAGAGAGGGCGCCACCCAACACAGCCCCACGAAAAGGGGGATATTGTCCCCCTTACGTGAACATGGTGTTTTTCGCGTGCATTCTCTCCGAAAAAACCCCGAAAGGTTCCCGAACATTTCCTGCACCCTCCAAAATACTCCGGATGCGTTTTGAAACTTTTTCGGCTTGATGGTTTATTCCGAAACAATTTTTGGTTTCTCCGAAACATTTTTGGTTTTCTCTTCGAAACATTTTCAGTGTCTCTCAAACTTTTCCAGTAACATTTCTCTCAGACTCCTTTCCTGCTACTCAGTAGATAGATGAACCTTAAGTGTGTGACCCTGCAGGTTCGGTGAAATATAGACATGACCGAAACTCTTTCCGATCAATGATCAATAGCGAATCTGTGACATCCATATTGATCCCTATACCCACACGAATGGATATTCGACTGAACCTTTAGTTATCATGTGCTATTCCTGTTGCTTCGCTATGTTACAAAAACTTGAGGTGATATTTATCGGCATCCTCGTGAATCAACAACTTGTTCACTATGCCAGTTTCCTCGTTATCAGTCTTGATCTCTTTTCTCGTTCTCATGTTTTGGCATCCCCGTGATCAAATCACACCGTGTCTGGCCAGACGATGATGGATACCGTAACACCGAGAGGGCCCAAGAATATCTCTCCATCATTAGAGGCGCAAATCCCAATCTTGAGCTATGTAGTCCCTTGTCATACTTTTCTGCAAACCCGTAAGCCGCCGTAATAGCCACCCTGTTATAGATGATGTTTAACAAACCCCAAAGTTCACGAAGCAAGTATGAAGGAACTCAATACTCTCATGGCCTAAGGAATTATGCAAATGTTTAACTTTCTATGTATTATAAACCATTAAATTATGAGGAATGGATCTCATAGAATAATAACAATTGGGTCGGTTCAATAGGAGTGTTCTTCTAACATTGTGTCCTCAAAGTTGCCAGCATACTCATGCCCATGATCAGGAAAACAGAACCATCATGCAACACTTGTGCTAGTCTTAGAGGCTAGACTAGGAATCTATTTACCACCTATTATTCTACACGTGCATATGAGTTTTCCTCCGAGCCTGGTGGTCATTGCAGACTCGAGAACCATAGCAGTTATAGCACAAAATATAAACATAATTACAAACATGGAAATAAATAATAATATTTATTATTGCCTCTAGGGAATATTTCCTACAGACTCTCACTTGCGCTAGAGTCAATAATCTAGTCAATACCAATGCACTTTACACCTATGGCATACCGGTGTAAAATGCGCTTCCCTTGCTGTATAGCCTTTGTCCAATGGATCCGACAACTTAAGGTCCGTGTGTATTTTTGCAGGTCCTTGCATTTTGATGCTTTCACAAAATTCATAATTTGTGTGGTCTTGGCTTTGTATATATTTGATTCAAGGACCTTGATTCCTCAGACAGAGTTATGGAGCCACTATCTACAATAGTGTTCCATTGAACTAAGTCATCTTGGACCATACTAAGTTAATAAATGAATTATATGATCTAACACCCTCTTTTGTCGCTTCTTAAGCGGCAATATATTTAGCCTTCGTTAATAGAATTCGTCACAGTAACCTATTTGGAACAATTTCAACATACTGCGCCACCATATTGATAGAGGCAAAGGTGTCCCGTCTTTCGATGAGATGATGGATATCGCTTTGGTGGCAGTCGACTTTGACGATCCGACTACGAACGTGCGAGGACGTCGCGCCTTAGCAATCGCTAAACCAACTTCGAGAGGTTATTGACCACGCCGGAGCACGATCAACCTGACCACGATGGTCTGTTTCCTGCGAGCAAACGAAGAACAAGCAAGAAACTGAGATTGCAATCTGGATATTGCCAATTTAAGATGAAAGCTTTATTGATCAAGGTGGGGTTCTGTGACGCCTTTGTCTGGTCGTTGAACACAAACGAAGTACGCGAAGTTGCAGCTATGGCGAACTTTTAATCTAAACAAAACCCAAAGTCTAAACGATGCCCTAAGGGCTGTATATATGGAGGAAGAGGGGGGAATTTTGTGGCCCTTGGTGGAGGGGTCCGAAATCAACCCTATCTTTGTTTCCCCACACATACGGACTCTAAAAATAGCCTATACTTATGTATTTCGAAATTACATGGGCCTGGCCCAATAATAAGGTGACGCAACACCTATAATAGCCTCGGGACGAAATTTATGAAGTGGCATCTTGTATATTTCGTCCAAGGCTTCATGCACCCATTATGGTGGCTTCAAAGTCCTGAAATCATCACTTGTAACTCTGTTCTTGTTCCCCTTGCGCATGCCATCATCTCCATGCTTGTTCTTGCTCCAATGTTCATCCTTCTCCAAGCTAGGCCCTTCATTTGTAAGCAAAACAAATGTATCCAATTTAGGCAGCATCATATTTTCATGAACATTAAAATCATTACCAAGAAACGAAAGTACCTGGTAATTTAGTTGGCGTGCGCGAGCTCTAGTAATTGGTCCAGTATGTATAGCAGCAGGGGCTGTGGGTGTAACAATTGTATTGATGTCCTCATCATCCTCCCCTTCTTGAAATGAAGTTGTCCTCGACGGAAGTTCATCTTCCTCACCCAAATAATGCTTCAAATCTGCAATGTTAAAAGTGGGACTAACCCCAAAATCTGCAGGCAGCTCAAGTTTATATGCATTATCATTTATTTTCTCTAACACCTTAAAGGGACCATCAGCACGTGGCATTAACTTTGATTTGCGCAAATCAGGAAATCTATCCTTACGCAAATGTAACCAAACAAGATC